TGCTCTAGGTAGAACTTCAAGTACTATGTTGAATAAGTATGAGGAGATTGGATGGCCTTGTTTTGTTCCTGATTTTAGTAGAATTGCTTTGAGTTTCTCTCTATTTAATTTGAAGTTGGTTGTTGGCTTGCTGTAAATTGCTTTTATTATGTTTAGGTATGTTCCTTGTATTCCTGATCTCTCTATAACCTTTATTATGAAGGCATGTTGGATTTTGTCAAAGGTATTTCAGCATCTAATGAGATGATCATGTGGATTTTTTCTTTCAGTTTGTTTATATGGTGTTTTACATTGACTGATTTTTGTTTGTTGAACTGTCCTTGCATTCCTGGGATGGACCTACTTGGTCATAGTGGATAATTTTTTGATGTGTTCCTGAATTTGTTTAGTCAGTATTTTACTGAATAATTTTGTATAAATGTTCATGAGGAAGATTGTTCTGTAATTCTCTTTCTTTGTTGCATCTTTGTGTGGATTGGGTATCAGGGTAACTGTAGCCTCATAAAAAGAGTTTGGCAAGGTTCCTTCGGTTTCTATTGTGTGAAACAATTTGAAGAATATTGGTATTAGCTCTTCTTTGAAAATCTGGTAGAATTCTGCGCTGAAACCATCAGGTCCTGGGCGTTTTTTGGTTGGGAGACTTTTAATGACCATTTCTATTTCCTTAGTTGTTATTGGTCTATTAAAATCGTTTATGTGGTCTTGGTTTAGCTTTGGTATGTGGTTTCTATGCAGAAAATCATTCATTTCTTTCAGATTTTCCAATTTTGTGGAGTACAGGTTTTTGAAGTATGACCTGATGATTCTCTGGATTTCCTCTTTGTCTGTTGTTATGTCTCTCTTTTCATTTCTGATTTTGTTAATTTGGATGATCTCCCTCTGCTTTTTGGTTAATTTGGATAAGGGCTTGTCTATCTTATTTATTTTCTCAAAAAACCAACACTTTGCTTCATTGATTCTGTGTGATTCTCCTTTTTTCTATTTTATTGATTTCAGTCCTCAATTTGATTATTTCTTGTCTGTTTCTGCTGGGTGAGTTTCCTTCTTCTTGTTCTAGATCTTTCAGGTGTGCTGTTAAGTCACTAGTGTGAGATTTCTCCAACTTCTTTATGCAGTCATTTAGTGCTACATGATTTCCTCTTGGCACTGCTTTCATAGTCTACCATAAGTTTGGGTATGTTGTACATTTGTTTTCATTGAATTTTAAGAAATCTTTAATTTCTTTCTTTATTTCTTCCTTGACCCATTGGTGATGAAATTGGGCATTATATAGTTTCCATGAGATTGTAGGCTTTCTGCAATTTTTGTTGTTGTTGAAATCTAATTTTAAGCCATGGTGGTCCAACAAAATACAGGAGTTCTTTCTAATTTTTTTGTATCTGTTGAGACTTGCTTTGTGACCAAGCATATGGTTGATTTTGGAGGAGGTTCCATGGGATGTTGAGAAGAAGTTATTTTCTTTTGTTTTAGGGTCAAATGTTCTGCAGATATCTATTAAGTCTATTTGAGTCACAATGTCTTTTAGTTCCCTTATTTCTCTGTTAAGTTTCTGTTTGTCAGACCTGTCCATTGGTGAGAGTGTTATGTTGAAGTCTCCCTTTACTAGGTTTGATGTGCAATTTAAGCTTTAGTAATGTTTCTTTTACAAATGTAGGTGCCCTTGTATTTGGATCATAAATATTCAGAATTGAGACTTCATCTTGTGGAATTTTATATGTGATAAATATGTAATGTCCTTCCTGATCTCTTTGAAATGATATTAGTTTGAAGTCTATTTTATTAGATATTAGGATAGCTACACCAGCTTGCTTCTTAAATCCATTCTTTCCCTGGCCTTTTATTCTGAGGTAGTGTCTGTCTTTTAAGTTGAGGTGTGTTTCTTTTATTCAGCAGAAAAAATGGATCTTATTTTCGTATCCATTCTGCTAGCCTGTGTCTTTTTATAAGTTTATCAAGACCATTGATATTAATGGATATTAATGACCAGTGATTGTTAATTCCTGTTATTTTTTGGTGGTAATGTTGCATGTTTCTCTTCTTTGGTATTTGTTAGTGTGGAACTACCAATTGCCTGTGTTTTTATGGGTGTATCTAAATTCCTTAGGTTGGATTTTTCCTTCTAGTGCTTTCTGTAGGGTGTTATTTCTGGAAAAATATCTTTTTAATCTGTTTTTTTCATGTAATATTTTGTTTACTCAGTCCATGTTGATTGTGAGTGTTGCTGGGTATAATAGTCTGGGTTGGCATCCAGAATCTTTTGTGTCTACATAATGTCTGTCTAGGACCTCGTGCCTTTTAAAATCTCCATCGAGAAGTCGGGTGTTATTCTTATAGGTCTGCCTTTATATGTTACCTGGCCTTTTTCCTTTGCAGCTCTTAATATTTTTTCTTTATTTTGTATGTTTAGTGGTTTGATTATTATGTGGTGAGGGGAATTTTTTTTTGGATCCAGTTTATTTGGTGTTATGTAACCATCTTATTTATCTATCTATCTATTTGTTTGTTTGTTTGTTTATTTTTGGATTTCCGAGACAGGGTTTCTCTGTGTAGCTTTGCACCTTTCCTGGAACTCATTCTGTAGTCCAGTCTGGCCTCGAACTCACAGAGATCTGCCTGCCTCTGCCTCCCAGTGCTGGGATTAAAGGCATGTGCTACCACAGCCCAGTCCTTCTTATATATTTATAGGCATTTCCTTCTTTAGGTTTGGAAAGTTTTCCTCTGTGATTTTATTGAATATATTTTCTGTGCCTTTGAGTTGGTATTTTCCTCCTTCTTCTATCCCTATTATTCTTAGGTTTGGTCTTTTCATGGTGTCCCAAATTTCCTGGACATTTGGGTCATGACTGTGTTGGATTTAGTTGGATTTAGTGTTTTTTTTTTTTTGACTGATGGTTGTTCTATTTCCTATCTTTAAAGATTTAAAGATCTATCGTATCTTTAATGCCAGAGATCTGCTCTTCCATATCTTGCATTCTGTTAGTTATGCTTGCATCTGTAGTTCCTATTCGTTGACTCAGATTTTCCACTTCCAGAATTCCCTCAGTTTGTGTCTTCTTTATTGTCTCAATTTCAGTTTTCAAATCTTAACTTGTTCCCTCACTTTTTTAATTGGCTTCTCTTGGCTTTCAAGGGATTTATTGATTTCTTCCAACTTTTTGTCTGACTTTTCCTCAAATTCTTTAAGAGAATTTTTATTTCCTCTTTAAAGATCTCTATCATCTTCTTAAAGTCATTTTTAAGGTTTATTTCTTCTGTTTCTTCTGTGTTGGGATGTTCAGGTCTTGCTGATGTAGCTTCTGATGGAGCCATATTGGTTTTTATGTTGTTGACTGTATTTCTGCACTGTCATCTACCCATCTCTTTCTCCACTTGGTGCAAGCAGTGTCTGTGTCTGAGGGAGCCTCTCTTGGTCTGATTGACACACTTGGTCCAGTGGGAGCTTTTGGGCTAGTTCGTGCTTAGTCCAATTGGCACTCATGGGCTCTCTTTCAGGGAGTAGCTCTTAGTAAAATCTGGTAGTGGCAGGCTCTGTCTCAGGGAACACTTGCTGTTTTGGAGGGTGGGTGGGATTTTGCAGAGGTGGGGCTTGTAGCTTGCAGGGTCTGATGGGTGATGGTTGTAGTCTAACCTGTCTGCAGGAAGTCTGCCTGCCCACTGGCATGTAACTGGGACTGCAATGGGTGGTGGTGTGGAGGTGCAGGGTTGTGCCCCTGGGCCTAAAGCCTAAAGGCTAGGGTGTTCGGGTATGAGGATAAAGACTTACCTCTTAGTCCAATTGGGTGCTGGTGGGCTCTGTCTCAGGGAACAGTTGTAGTCTTGGAGGGTTCCTGGTATTTTGGGGAGGTGGGGCTTATGGGTTACAGGGTCTCTCTATACTAAATTTTAAAATTGGGTTCTTCGTTTTCTGAATTTTCATTTTTAAGTTCTACATACATCCTAGTTACTAAGCTACTACCAGTTAGGTATTTGTAAGATCTTATCTGAATATGTAGAGTACCTCTTTATATGGGTACTGGTGTGCTTTGCCATACAGAGTATTTTGAGCTCCATGAGGTCCCATTTTTTCATCATTGGTCTTAGTGCTTGTGCTATTAAATTACTGATTAGAAAATATTTTCAGTGCTAATGAGTTCAAATCAATTCCCCATTTCCTATTTTATCAGATTCACCATGTTTGGTCTTATGTTGGGGTCTTTGGTTCACTTTCAGTGGAGTTTTTGTAGGGTCTTAAACACAGATCTGCTTGCATTCTTCCACATGCAATCAAGCAGTTTGATGAGCACCATTGATGAAAATGCTCTCTCTACTCCAGGGTGAATTATTTGCTTTTTTGTTAGAAATCAGATTTTCATAGAAGTGTGGACTTATGTCTATGTCTTCAGTTCAACCCATTCGTCAATGTGTCTGTTTTTATGACAATCATGGTGTTTTTATTACTATAGATCTGTAGTACAACTTAAATTCTAGAATGGTGATATATACTTCTAACACTTCTTTTATTATTCGTGATGTTTTAGTTGTATGTATGTGTGTTAATTTGGATGTAATTGGCCTCCATAAGCTCACTGGTACTGGCATTATTAGAGGGTGTGGTTTTATTGAAGGAAGTGTGTCACTGTCTCCTATGCCAAAGCTCTGCCCAGTGTCTTCATGTTGCCTGTAGAACAAGATGTAGGATTCTCAGCTCTCTCTCCAGCACATGTCTGCCTGCATTCCACCTACCAGGATGAGAATGGCGTAAACCTCTGAACTTATAAACCATGCCAATTAAATGTTTTCCTTAGTAAGATTTGCCATAGTCATTCTGTCTTATGAACAAACCCCAAGACACTGTGTATCTGTATATGTGTCTGTGTCTCCATAGGAAGTTCAACATTGTTTTTTGTTGTTGTTGTTTAATTTTTGTGAAGACTTGTGTTGGACATTTTTGATGGATATTACACTGAATCTGTAGCTTTCGTAGCAGGGAATTTTTCACAATAATAATCCTTCTAATCAGAGAGCATTCCATCTTCTGGTATAATTGTCAATACCTTTCTTCAATGTCTTAAAGTTGTTTTAGTTTTCAAAATACAAATTATCCACTTGTCTGTTTAGAATTATCACAAGATTAAAGAAGAAAAAGATTATCTTTGCAGTCATTATCTTGAAGTCATTTCAGAAGGAGTACTTAGAAAAATGTATTCAAATCCAATTTACAAAGCAAAGGAATATGAAAGCATTAAAAAGGAAATTTCTTGAATCAGAAAAGACTTTGAAAATATAAAACAATTCTTGGTAAACCCAAAGCCTTGTCCTAATGCATCATTTTAGTGTTTTAATATCTGTGTACCTCACCTTTCTAGAAGTAATTCATTTTTAATAAGGAAAATCCCATCAGGTCTCTTAGTTTGACACTTATAAATGAGACTTTTCTTAATTATTTTACTCAGAAATAAAGCTATAGAGCTGCAAAGATATTTCAGTGGGTAAAAGGACCTGACATCCAGCCTGACCAGCTGAAATTACCTGTTGCAGCCAATATAGAGACAAGAAATGACTCATGAAAGTTGTACTCTTACCTCCATCTCTATACAGTGACATGAGATGGAGACCACATGGGAAGACAAATATAATTTTTAAATATAATAAAATTTTAAAAAGAAAGAGATGAATTGTATATACCGTAACAAACAAGAAAACAACTTAGGAATCACTGGCAATAATAAAATATTTTTTCAAGTTCACACAGTTTATGAACTGAGTCAGTCTCAAGGAGCAGAGAAAAAGAGGACCACTAGTTTTAGTCTCATAAATCTTCTCAGTTCACAAGATGTTATCTTTAATTATCACCTAAATTAAGTACTTCCTTGATGAGAGTATGAAAATAGTGAATTCACTACCCATACAATAAAAGAATATACATAATTATTCAGCCATTGGTAAGGGCAATATATGGAGACATGTCATTGTGGTATCACAAACCCAAGGATTTTCCTTGAGTTCTTACCAAATCAATTTACACAATTTCTTATTTCAAGTACACAGTGCTCTATTTTGATCAAGCACAAGGCATATTCCTGGGCTGTAGAACCCAGTGAAGCTGTCCTAATTAGGATTTCACTGTGCTGTTTACTATTGTGCATTGAAGAGACAGAACAGTTGGGTAAGTGTATACAAGATCTATGGAATTCTGGAGTTGCATGGATTAATGATTTGAATAAAAATGGCTCCTACAGGCTCAAATGTTTGGATATTTATTCTCCATTTGGTTGAACTCTTTAAGAAGGATTATAAGTTCAGCCCTGTTGAAGGAGTTGTGTCACTGGGAGTAGGCTTTAAGGTTTCAAAAGTTTGCCGGGCAGTGGTGGCACACACCTTTAATCTCAGCACTTGGGAGACAGAGACAGGAAGATCTCTGTGATTTTGAGACCAGACCGGTCTACAGGCTCCAAAACTACAGAGAAACCCTGTCTGAAAACTTAATGGAAAAAAAAGGTTTCAAAGTTTTAGTCATTTTCAGTGTCCTCACAGTCTCCTGCTTATGTATCCAGATATGAGCTCTCAGCTGTCCTGTCTGCATGCCTTTGTTTCCCAATCACAAACATTAACACTCTGAAGCTTTAAGCCCAATTAAATGCTTTGTTTTAGATATTCTCTTGGTCATGGTGTTTTAACTCAGCAAAAAAGTAACTAAGAAGGAAGGTACTACCTGGGAGTGGGCTATTGCTGTGACAGGCCTGCCCATGTTGTTTAAGAGGAATGTGAATGACTTTGGGGATTTAAACTAGAATATAGGTTGAATGCTATGACCAGGATTTAATGGCTTATCCTTGTAGCAACTAGGAAGACATTTCAGAGAGCCATATGGAGGTCCAAACAATTATATTGCTCTACCATTATGACACCAGCTCCCTGAAATCATAAATCCAGGTAAATACATCCTCTATAAATTGTCTGAACACTGTGTTTTGTGACAACAGTAGGAAAGTAATTAATACACACTGGGCTGGGTGCAACATTCTTATACTACCATGAGAACAAATTATTTCTACAAAAGTAGGTAAATGGAAATTTATGGCTGTGAAAATTGTACCACTTAGATCTTCTTGTTGCTTTTTTTTTTGTTTTATGTTGCTATAGTATACCTGAGGTAGGATCACTCCTAAGAACTAAATTATTTGTTTTTTCTACTTCTTCCTTCCTTCTTCCCTCTTGATTTCCTTTATTCTTTCTTTCTTCTTTCCTTCCTTTCTCCTCCTTCTTTACCAGGGTGCTGACCCAGTCAAATGCAAACAAAGCATACTATGAGCACCTATGAGGTGATACCCCTATGGTGATATTTTAATTGTACTGAAATGTGATTTTATTTGTATGTTAATAAAAAAAGTTGCCTGGGGGTCAGAGCTAATAGCAAGCCTTAGCAGAAGCTGGGCAGTGGTGGTGCAAGCCTTTAATCCCAGCTCTTCAGAGGCAGCGCTAAGCAGATCTCTGTGTGTTCAATGATACAGCCAACATGGAGACACACACCTTTAATCTCAATGCCAACCATATAAGACCTGGAGGTGTGTACAGACAGGCAGTAACGAGGAGGTCATGCGGTTGAGTTTCCAAGCAATGAGAAGGCAGAATAGAAAGTCTATTAGAAAGACAAACAGACAGGAAGTAGGTCTCTTGCTGAAGAGGACAACAGCAGCAGTGAAGGGTATAAGGTTCTTAGCTCTGACCTCTTGGGCTTTCATCTCTGCATTGGCTCTGTTTTTCTTATTTAAAAAGAACATTCATCTACATACCCCAGCTTCTGTCTCCATTCTAAGCATTCCCCCATACTCTCAGGAATGCAACTGAGCTGACTCTCAGAGGTTCTTTCCATCATACTCTAGCAAGGTAAAGTCCTGCTCAGGGATTCTGTTCCCTTTGTCCCTGCAGCGTGGTAGCCAATGGGCTATGAGAAAAAAGGAGATTCCCACAGCCCACACCCATTGAACAGGAACTTGTGGAATGCATAGAGTTTGGGAGTGTCCCCTGACCCCTGGCAGAGGATAGTGATGATTTTTGCCTGACTATTCTAGTTCAAGGATCAGTCATCTCTCTTCCTCTCTTGTTTTACTTTCGGTTTGTATCTCTTTGAGGACTGGATACAGTTTGAAGGCAATTGAAACAAACCAGGATGGAAAGCTACATTTTCATCATCTTTACATGTAGGTATGAAAACATGCCCTACATTGAGGATTATAGTCCTTTCAGAAGCCAAGTGTGTCTAATAAATAGCTCATTACCAGATTTATGGTATCTAGAGAGAGATTGTTCCTCAGAGTTGTTCTGAGGAACACTGAAAACTGCAAGGAGACTGTCATTGCTCTTTGTTACTAAGCAGAACATGAGGGTAAGATCCTATAGCAGAAGACACTAAACACATTGGTTATAGGTAGTGTCAACATTGTACTGACCAGGAAACTTTCTCCTTGATTACAACCCTTTATAGTACTGGAAGGTGGTTGGGAGGATTCTTTAGGGAGGAAGAAATCAACAGTCTTTCTTACTCAGCAGTGAATCCCATGAACTCCTAAAATGACCATCATGGCAAGATAGGGGTGTATACATGGGATAATGGCACTGATATTATGGGGGGAGCCAACCACTTTCTGTTTGGATTTAACTCTGTTCTGTGGGAGGAAACACATGCTTAGTTCTCTAGCCGAGGACCCATGGTTGAGAAGCTCACAACCAAAGAATGGGCCTATTTTTCTGATAAATGGTCTTAATATCCAACTGCCATCTGAATTTGCTGAATTTGCATATTTTACCAATATGTTAATATAGCCCTCATATCTAAACAAAGAAATTTCTTTTTGAAGTAAATAGTGGTTAATAAAGAAACTGACAATCCATCAAAGTACAAAGAATAATTGTCAGTGGAATGCTCATCCATAAATGGAAAATTAAAGATTATATAATGGAAACAATATTGACAAAATTAATGAGAATTCTTTTATCCATGTTGAAATGAGACATACTGTTCTATGTTTTGGAAGATGGGCAAAACTGATATGAGAGAACATAAATATTACTAAATAATCATTTTCCTTCCATACACATATAGAGACAATGAAAAATATTTGAAGACTATGTCACAAAGTGTGTTAGATTAAAGCCATAGTGATGTAGGTTTCCTTTAGGATTAAAATAAAATCCAGGTATTTAGATTGAACTCTTTGAAGAACATATCAGAACTTGAGATAAAATCAACCTTCATTTATGGCCTCATTTCTTGAGATAATCTTCAGGACAATAGGCTTTTCTGGAGTATGAGTCAGTTTCTTACCTAATTTCAAGGGAATCTGAAATAGATGAATAAATACATTGATGAGTTAAATAAATCATCAATTACACAGAAGGCTGGTAGAACCAATATATTAAGAACATTAGTGGTTTATCCCTCTGTTGTCACATGGCTGTGACCCTAGCATTCAGAAGTAAGAGGGAGGAGAAATACAAGGTTAAGACTTGCTTGGTTACATAGGATGATCTGTACAATCTTGAACAATAAGGATTGTTTTCTAGAAATAAATAAATTCATCTTTTTAAGTGAATAAAAGACTTTTAACACTGTGGTGGCTTGAAAGAAAATGGCCTCCAAAGGGAGTGGTGCTATTAGGATGTATGTTCCTGTTGGAGTAGATGTGGTCTTACAAGAAGTGGGTCACTATGGAGGTAGGCCTTGAGTTCTCATAAGCTCAACATATGCCCAGTGTCTCAGGCCACTTCTTGTAGCCTTGGTATTCAGATAAAGAATTCCCCAGCACCATGTCTACCTGCAGGCCACCGTGCTCCTTATCAAGATGATAATTGACTAAACCACCGAAATTGCAAGGTGTCACCTCAATCAAAATGTTTTCATTTGTAGGAGTTGCCATAGTCATGATATCTCTTCATTAAACCCCAAGTAAGGCAAACACCAAAAATCTTGAATTGCTTATATAGAATATGAAAACATGCTTCAATCTATCCATACTTCAGCATAAATATAGAGCACCTAAACTGTAAAAGGCCTAAGACAAAATTGTGATGGTTGTCTTCCTATTGTTCTAAATTTTAAATGAAAATTAGAAGTATGAAATTTGAAAAGCACACTTGTAAACATATAGCAAGCAGGTTTTAATAGGTGATACAAAGTTAATTTTCATTTTGTAAAAGTGGAAAGAAAACCATGAATAGGTTTGTTACATGGTAATACCATTGCAATGCATTTACTTTCCAATCTGATCCTCAGGGGTTCACGATTAGAGGGAGTGACTTTGAGTACCACTATGGCATTAATTCTATCTCTTCTAAAATTCTAAGATGGTGCTAAAAGAGGAATTTGCACTCATTTTGACTAGTTTTTTAAATGACATTCTTGTCAGTTGGTGAAAGAGAAGGCCCTCCTACAGAATAGTAATCCTGTATCAGCAGAAGAAGGTGCAAACAGGTTGTCTCATAGTTTGAGAAATGCCATCTTGTAGGTAGTTAAAGTTTATTAAAGATTGTCAGATGCCTACAGATTGCCTACCATCAAAACAAAGTCACTCGACTGTATTCAAGTACAGAGCAGGAAGACTGCTGACTTAAAGTCATCAAAGGGAAAATGACCATGGAATATTCTTCTACCAGGGGGAAAACTTACTGAGTCATATTTAATACAAAGGTCATGAAATTAAACTTGCTGGGTATTGTTTCATTTAAGGTAATGACGACATATTCTTAAGTTCTTAAGAGGAGATCTTTCCAAACATGTTTCTAATTGTGACACCTTCTATTAACTGTGTACACAGAAGGGGTCTGAGGACTTGAAAAGTTAGACATGGTCACAGCATTCAAGGAAACAGTATTTTTTGGAGAGACCAGGACAGATGCACATATACACATACAATGGTGTGAAAGTATGCACAAGATATGACAGGTCCAAACTCAAGCTGAAATGCTCTCTCTCTCTCTCTCTCTCTCTCTCTCTCTCTCTCTCTCTGTGTGTGTGTGTGTGTGTGTGTAGAGAAACAGTCCCACCTGTGGCTGAGGAGCTTTGATGTTTTCTTTATTAATGCTGTGAACTCTCTTAAATAAACCAGATTCCAGACCAAGCCACACACATAAGAGCAGTCATCTAACAGAAACTGGACTGGATTGACTTAAAAAATAGAGAGAAAAATGAAAAAACACATTAAGTGTGAGGTGAGGTGGGGATGGATATGGGATAAACTGTGGTGATGGGGTGAATGTGATCAAAATGCATTGTATGAATTCTCCAAGTATTAATAACAATGTTTAAAAGCATACATAAAGAACTGCATCTATCAAAATAATTTTGTCAGTTTTTAGTATTTAGAATAGTTTAAAATGTTTAATGTATTTTTGAAGGATTTTAATATGCAAAAGTCCTCTAAGGCACCATTTTAATTTTTGGAAAGAATAAATTTAGGTGATTTAGAAAGTAGGAGATGAACAAAAATAAAGTAACAGTGGGAAGTACGTGGGGTAGTTCATAGGTTTATGGGTTGTGGAACAGTGGCAGCCTGAAGACACCATATTTAGAAGACAGGACTAAATTGCACCAAGAAAATCTGGTGAAAGTTCTTGGCTTGGAGAGGACTTGATTGATATGAACTTGTAGAATAAGGAATAATAATGAATAAAGAAGGGAAGAAACATATGGATTTATAATAATGTATGTAGATATCTGATAGTCTAAACATGAGTTCCTAAAAGGTGAGGACAAGTGTATAAAATGGCCAAAAAAGGAGTCCTTCATATCCATGAAAAATGATTTAAACCAGTGATTTTTGTCTTTGGCTATAAATGGAAATCACTGTGGAATGTGTATAGCCACTTTGGTGTGTGAAACCTTTTGGACATTATGAGATCACACAAGGATCATAAAGTGATGATTACACATCTTGGAGACAAAACACGTACATATACATAGGCAAACTAAAACAAGATTTAAAAATCTATTCCATGATTTTAAGAGCCAGAGAGGTTCAGGCTACCAGGAGAACATGGCCCACAGAATCAATGAAGCGGGGCTCTTAGAAGCTCAGAGACTGAAGCAGCAATGATGGAGCCTACATAGGTCTATGCAAGGCCTGCCACAAACATGCTGTGATTCTTTAGCTTCAGGTTTTTGTAGGAATCCTAACAGTGGGAGTAGGGGAGTCTCTGACTCTTTTGTCTGCTCATGGAACCCTTCTCCTCCTACTAGGTTGTCAGACCCAGCCTTGACATGAGCATAACTCTCGTAGAATATTGCTATGTAGTGTTTGGTTGATATCCCTGGGAGGCCTGATCTTTTCTAATGGGAAATGGAAGAGCAGTAAATCTGGGAGATCGGGAATGTGGGGGGTCACTGGGATGAGATGAGGAAGGAGAGAGGAGGCTGTGGTCAAGATGTATTTTATGAAAGAAGAATAAATAAAAAGAAAGTAATCTTTTCTGTTTGTGGTATATACAAGTATGAAATGCTGTAAAAAGTCTGTTATTTTAAAAAGGCATATATACTTGTAACAAGAAAAAATACTCACATTCAATGATACTATATGTAAACATAAAAAGAGTATCTTCATTGATTCTACATGCTCTTAACATTTACACTTAGACACAGACTAACTGTTCCAGAATTCAAGGGCCCTAGAGCTCACACATGGCTTTATATAGATCTCTTGACAGAGAAAATATCAATTAAGGATAAAATAGTATATTCTCTCTATATATATTTCATACATAAGTTAATATATATATCCACAAGTTTATGAAAATGCCTATGAATAAAAAACAAAAACCTGTCAAACAGTATATGTTTTGGCTCACCTCTGTTTCTTCACAAGGACTCAGGGAAAAGTTCTGCAGGATTTTGACAGTTGCAAGCTTCATGTTAATGAGAGCAAACCTCATGCCAATGCAGTTTCTAGGACCATGTCCAAAAGGCAGGTATGTATAAGGATTGAGTCTATCTTTATTCTCCTTGCTGAACCTGGTGTCACAATTGAATAAGAACTTAAATAATGAAACATGAAGTGCACAAGAGCCATATGTTTACAGTTTTCACATACAGCCCTCAGTCAGAACCATAGAGCTCACTCCAGTATGTTCATTATTCCAATCAACAATAGTTAATTCATTTTGAGATTTAGAAGTTAAAGTTCTTTTTACAACTTTACAGTAAAGGAGCTCCTGAAGTTAATAAGATGATTGTGGCGAATGCTCATTGAATTGAAATGTGTGTTTAAAGTTGAAAATAGTAAGGATGTCTTATGTTCCAAGTATATGAACATAAGAAAGTAAAATTGAAAAAGGAAGGAATTGTCCTGACCACAACACCTGAATTGGGGATTTGTTCATTGGAGAATAAGGAAATGTATGTTACAAATGAACCGTTAATATTCCATTCTCTCCTCACTATCCTCTCCTTCCTTTCTGTCCTTATTTCAGTCTATTTAACCTAATCTGTTTCTTCTTCTTCCTCCTCTTCCTCTCCAGCCTCCTTTCCCTCATTAAGCCCCTTTCACAAAATCTTAGACTGTCTCTCCCTCCTCCAAGAGTTATCAACTGAAGTGGTTTTCAAGGACACATGCTGCTTCTCTACTCTGTTATCTCTGAATTTTGTCTCCATCTCCTCCATTAGGGGAAAGACCACTAAAAGTACAGACTTATGTCCAATTAAAATTTGATTTCTCACATGCTTATTATAAAAATTATTATTATAAAAATTCTGATTATGGGAATGTTCTAGAAGACTAATAACCATCTGTTTTCTGAGAGTTATTAAATATCAGGAAAGATGAAGAAATAATTTCTATGCTATTTTACAGAACTGCATTGGAGTCCAGGGAAAGTTGTACTGGTATGTGTGTGCAAGGTGAACTTGGTGGAATCTTGTTTGGGAAGATTTTATAAATTTACACAAACACACACACACACACACACACACACACACACACACTGAAACAGACAGGAAACATTGACATTCTTCTGTAGACATCTTCTGTACTGCATTTGATTAAAACGTCAGTATTTTTTTAACTTTTGCATTCCTCTTCCCTGGTCTAGTCACTGATGCCCACTGAGTCTATATTATATGATTGAAAGCAGAAGCAACAATTGAGACACAAAATGAATAATGTCCAAGTTTGTAGCCACTGAACTAAAGGGGGTGGAAGTGGTGGCTATATAGAGGGACATAGAATTCACCTAACCAGAAAACAGGAGTTAAATGGCTCCATTCTACTCCTCTAATAAGCACTGTACATAGACCATCTGCCAACACCAGGGACACATGGTTATGAATACAAGGCCTTAGGCATCAAGAACTTCATAAAAGAGGCTACTATATATCTAAATTCTTGGCCTCATGATTTAACAGCATCTATATTAAAATATCATTTTTACATGAGTAGCATGATATGGATTGGACAGGTTTTTTACAGGAATGTATATGTCTATCCACACATCTGTATGTGAGCACCTAAATAACATTTTGTGAAAAAAGAGGCCATGTACTCGACGAAATGAGGGGAGGGATCTATAGGAGAATTTGGAGGGTGGAAGGGAATGAAGAAATGTTATTCCCAATTATAATTTCAAAACTTAAAAAATAAGATAAAATATGAACAAGCATTTTTATTACTGGGGCAACAATGGCAACCTAGCAACTGTTCCCATGCTGCATACAATTCCCACAGACTGTTTATCACTTTCCACTCACAGGATACCCTGATTCAGATTCCAGAGGAATGAAAATAACAACTTTCTACTGAGTTGATTACTTGGCTATGGAGGAGTCACCCACTGGATAAGTGTGAGGACGTTTCCTTCACAAAAGAGACAGAAAGAAGACTAAGAGGACTTGTATTAGCATTCATCCACAGCGATGCACCTTAAACCATCTAAGAGGAGGCTTTCTGTGCCTCTACCTGCACCAATGGCTAATACAATGGATTCCTATATTTGGGAAATTGTTCCTATATTTTGGGATGGTTCCAGAGTAAAGAAATATAAACTTCACAACTTGAATATAATAACTGATTTCCAAATCATGGTAATTGCACTTCCTCCCTTTGAAACACACACACACACACACACACACACACACACGCACACACACACACACACACACACAGACACACACACAAACACACACAAACACACACACACTCAAGTAACTGTCATAAAATAGCAATTATAGATTATAGAAAGTAATCAGCAATTATAAAAATGGGAGAAAACTGAGGGTTTTTTTTCTAATAGCTAAATATCTACACCCATTTTGAAATATATACAATGATGTCACTATATTAATGGAATTTATATTAAGGTTGTATTTTGAATGAAGATGTCCCCATAGGCTCATAGCAGCTGGCACAATTGGGAGGTGTGGCCTTATGTGGTAAATTGTCACTGCTGGTGGCCTTTGATGTCTCAGAAGCTGAAGCCAAGACTATTGTCTTTCTTCTCTGCCTGGTGCCTGCTGAGCTGGATATAGAACTCTCAGTTACTTTTCCAGCACCATGTCTGTCTGCATGCTGCTATGCTTCCTGTCATGATGATAATGGACTAAACCTCTGAAAACATAAGGCATCCCCAAAGAAATATTTTTCTTTATAAGCGTTACCATGGTCATAGTATTTCTTCACATTAAAAATGCTAACTAAGACAGGCTTAAGACTCTAAAACAAAATTATAAAATACAGAAATGTCATTTTTGGTCCATTAAAACATCTGTAGTTTTTACAATAATGATCAATTTGTACTACTGGCATTCTAAAATCAAACTTACATGCAGCAAGGTAATACAAATTTATATTTAAGTGATTAAAGTAAGAGACATCTTAACATATTTAAAGAAGTCTGGTTCTGTGTATGTTCCCTTTCTCAGGGTCCTTGTACCTTTCAGGACGGAACTCCTCAGGCTCTGACCAGTATTTTGGATCCCGGTAAAGAACAAAGATAGGTATGATCACCTGTGTCCCTTTTGGAATGAACACACCATTGATTTCAGCATCTTTCTTACTGAGTCTGTTAACTCTGGTAACAACTGGATATAATCTCATAGTTTCATTTACCACCATGTCCAGATATTCCATCTCTACCAGGGCTTCATAAGTGGTAGGTTCCTGGGAAAAATTTAAAAAAGACTTTGCTGGTTTGAGATTTAAAACTAACTGTCATGTCAACCAACTCAGTACTATTAAGTTTTTAGAAACTCCACATTCAACCCAGATTAATGATTAGATTTACCATTTTTACCAATGATAAGTCCTATTCACAACAGTCATGTGTGTTGACATACTAAAGGTGCACTGAACTTACATTTAGGTCCCAAATCTTCAGTTTTCTTTCGTACTGTTTTCCTTTCAGTAATAATGAATGGCTTATTATGTCAATCTCATTCAACATACATCAGCTGTTGAGGGTGTTAACTTAATAGAAGGAGGCCAGTAGTCCAGACCAAGAAAATACAATGTGGAGAATATTAAAATCCTTTTTAAAATTCTATATCAATCCTTTCAGAGGACAACTCACAATTTTAAAATCCTATGAGTGATTTTGATATTACCATAAATGTCTAATTTAAAGATCAAGGACATATTAAACAGGAATAGTATATGAAATTACAGTGACTAACTTCAGTAGGATCTTTTCCCTTTGAACTGCATTATGGTAAAATAGCCTAAAATGGAGACGAATTGAGCAACAAATTCTATTCTAGTGAGAGACCCATTCAGCTCCATGCTCAGTTCCTGAAAGAAACTTTTCATTGTTACTTCATATGTCATTCTATTAAATCTTTAACTTTCAACATCCCTCAGTCTAAAGTCACCGGAAAAGTAGGTCTAAATTGAAAGATTACGGGTTGCTAGATTAGATTGGATCATGAGTATATCTGTGAGAGTTGTTGCCTTAACTGTTCATTGATGTAGGAGGGTCCAGCAATTTGAAGGTAGTACTGTTACGTGAGTGTATGATCCTGGGCTGCATGAGAACAACTAAATAAGGATAGGTCAGTGAGTGGGACAGAGAACAGACAGCATCCTTGATAGTTCCTGCTGTGCTTCTCTGGCTGTGTGAGTACCTTGGTCAGAAGCAGTGCTGTGTAGAGTGGTAGACAGTCCTGACTAAAAGTTCCTATTTTGAGTTCCTGCATTGACTGTCCTCAGTGATAGCCTGTAATGTGAAAATGTAAGCAGAAGTAAACGCTTTCCTCCCCATAGTTGTTCTGGATCACGGGATTTGTCACAGTAACAGAATGTAACAATAACAGGGGTGAGTATGAGTTCTGAAGATGTTTTGTATGCATATCATTGACAACCCAGCCAATCCCAGAGTTCAGGTACCTCACAAATCATTGCACCCTATTTTGGGCATAGATAAGAAGACAGCTCATATGATGTGTGGCTCTCACATTGTGGCATTCTGAAGCTACCATAATGTAGAGGTGAATAGTTTAATTTGAAAGCTGCCATGATGTGCTTTGTTTGAGTCTAATTATGTGATTAGAGAGAGGAGTAATGCATAGCATAGCTGAATCAGCCTGCACAGAAAGGACCACACAAGACATCATTGTTATCAGTCATGCCAAAGCATTTCCAGTAATAAAAATACAGTTATCAGGTATACTGTTTAAGTTCTAGGGGGATGTCTCAGTGGTTAAGTGCGCCATTTGCCCTCGCAGAGGACCCAGGTTCAGTTCCCGGTACAGACATGGTGAGCATATTTCCTAGAAGTCTAGTTGCAGGGGAATCTAAGGCAACCTCTGGCTTCCTCATGTTTCAGAAATGCACATGGTACAGAGATATGCATGCAGGCAAAAGACCCATTTAAGTTTAAGGAAGAAACTTGACTGACACTTGCATATCCTTAAAAATCCAAAGAGATTTCATGCATGTTTTTGAACTGTTTCATTGCATATTACAGGATCAATACAGAATTACAGAGATTAGTATTTTTCTACACATATTTTTTCTTTGTTTTAGATTTTCACAGGTTATTTCTGAAAGAATCACTTCTTACTGCATTTACTATAATTCTAAATGTAAGTAGGGAAGCAGTGTTTCAAGTTGAGGTTTGACATTTTCCCTGTATCTTCCAGCACCATCCACTCACCTTATTGGGCAGGACTGCATCAATCTCATGCTGCAGTTTCTTCTGAACATTGGGGTGAATCGCCAGTAAATACATAATAAAGGAAAGAGCAGTGCTTGTTGTCTCATAGCCAGCAAAAATAAATGTGATTGACTGGGCAAGTATCTCCAGATCAGAAAGAGCTAAAATGAGATTAGACATTTTATGTGAATGATCAAAGCTGGTGCCTACACAGAGCCTTCACCTGCTTTGATCTACCATCTTTGACACAGGAAGGTACACTGTACTTTATCTACAATGGTGTACTGCCTGCAAGATATGCAAGGATTATGGTGGCACAATACGTGTGGGAGTAACCAACCAATAACTGATTTGACTTATGACATACTCCATGAGATGGAACCAAGATTGACATCACTTAGGTGACCAAGAACCTAACTAGATATCCCAGGGGCCAAAGGCAAAACCCAAAAATACTGGTGTAAAAAAACATGCAGGGATAAAATGACTCTTAATGGTATTATGCTATACTTTTAGATAAGTGCCTTGCTCAGCCATCATGTAAGAAGACTCCTCCTGCAACTGATGGGAACAAATGTAGAGAACGACAGCCAGACAATAGGTACATCATGAGAGCATTTGGAACACCCAGTCCTAAGTGGGATGTCTCCACCAAATCCCTCTCCTCAGAGCCCAGGGAATCCCACAGAATCAGAGTTGGGAAGACTGTATGAGGCAGTGGGATGAGAATACCAAGTAAACCAAGAAAACAACACTCCAAATCGACGTGACAAAATGTCATAGGGACACACAAAGACTGAAGAAGCATGGTAAAGGCCTGCACAGGTCTTTGGAAGGTCCTCTGTGTATGTATTATGGCTCACAGTTTGGTGTTTTATGGGATTCTTGACCGTACAAATAAGTGGGTCCCTGATTCTTGTATCTTCCCTTGGACTCTTTTCATTCTGTTAGTTTTTCTTCCCCAGCATTGATGTATTAGTTTTTGTTTCATCTTTCTATATTTTATTTTGATACATTAGAAAATGATCAAATAAATGAAAACCTAGTCACTGGAAAAAAGTATAACAACTGAACTGTCTTTTATATGTGTTGGGAGAGAGAAAATCAGTTTTTTTTTCCAAATACAGTGACACTGGGAATATCAACAACTCCAGGACAGGCCCTTTTTTCAGGAGTAGGTTGCCCAATATATTGTGGGATCCACAATGTGTGTGTGTGTGTGTGTGTGTGTGTGTGTGTGTGTGTGTGTGTGTGTATAATTTTATTTAGTTAAATTTTAGTGTTTGGTTTGGCTACTGTTTTATGTTTATTCCTTGGTTTTGAGTAATTTTGCTGTTGTATTGGGCTTTTGTTTGCTTTTGAAAAAGAATTTAAAGTTAGCTGGGTGAAGGGATCCTGAAGGCCTTTGGGGAGGGAAAGAATAGGATCAAAATATATTTAAATTAAAAAATTGTTTAATAATAGAAAATAACAAAAACATGGGCATTGACTTCAAATGTGGGATTAAATATGGAATGAATTAATTAAAGTTTCCAAAACACACATGGTAGTACCAATGTTTGGAAAGAAACATTACTCTGAAATACTAAGCCCAGTCACAGTGAGTAAAAGAATGAAGAGGAAATACATTATGAACACTGTGATTTTTCTTCTTTAATGTACTATAATATTGTGAGAGGAAAAATAAATTCCCACAGTCCCTTAAGCTAGTGAACATACTTCCAAAGCATGAACCACAGTGCAAGTTGCTATTTGGACACTGTGCTTCCTGATTGGGTCCTCTGGATGCAGATTTGTAAGCAGAGGTTCTGATTCAGTGGCCCTGCCTAAGGCTGAGACCCACCCATCAATGAAGACACTTGGAGTATAAAAGGAATGCTCATAACAGACTTTCAGATTTTTAAAAGATTCATTAAAATATAATTATTTCATTACCCTCTTTCTATCTTTCCTCCTACCCTTCCCATGCTGCATTTCCTCTCACTCTCAAATTTAGGGACTCACCTTTAAATACTTTTGTTACATATACAAATAAATAGTCATAAATATAACCTGCTGAATCTACTCAGTTTTGCCTACTTCTGGGTTGGCAACTTAGTTTTAGATAAATAAACAGGGACTCATCTCTGGGGAAGATTAAATATCTGATCTATCTGGATCTCTTCATTTAAGAATGGGTTCTCATGAAATTTTCCCTGTCTATGTTGGAATGTCAACTGTTGTTGGGCCAGTTTAGGTCTTGGTTAGATAGCCATGTTGATGACATTTTATGGTTGTAGCTTCCCAGTTACAGAGGGAAGGTACACTAAACATAATGTATTCTGTAAGCATACACACTATGATTTTAGAAAGGCCCTCAGGCTGCTTCCTATAACAGCATGTCTGTGACTTTTTGTAAATTAGCAGAAGTCTCTCTGCTTGAATGACCCCTTTACATTTTAAGAATCAAAACCTTCCTCTCTGCATCCCCTTTAGGCCCTAAATTATCCTTAGTTACGTTTATGGGACTCCAGGTCTTTGGAATTCTGGGAGTTCATCATCAGCTGAAGAAAATCCACTTGGTGCTGAAAGGAGACAGAAAATTTAAAAGCAGAAAGTGGGTTGCTAGGTCAAAAATAAGTATGAAATGTAGAAGTTTAACTTTCATGTGAGGAAATAGCTCATTTTAGAATTAGGCTAATGTGGTCTGAATCACTAGTGACATAATATACTGACCCATAAATTTTGGGGAACAAAAAGTTCATTATGAAACCAGTAGTGATGGCATACACCTTTAATACTAGTACTTAGGAGGCAGGCTAATCTTTGAATTTGAGTCCAGCTTGGTCTATAAAATGAGCTCCAGGATAGCCAGAATAACTCTGACATGAAAAAATATTTTTAAGTAAGTCTATCAGGGTAATGTATCATGCTGCCATGTCCATCACTATTTCTCATGGCTTTCCCTCATTCTAAGCATCTGTAGTTGTTGATGACAGACTCCTGCTTGATGGCTGTAGTTTCTTCTTCTTGATATATTGTTATCCCATATCTCATGCTTATCAACTGGTGTTTCTGGAACTGATTTCTAGGTTTTATGTGATTGCCTACTCTCTTAGTTATTACTGTGAAGAGATACCATGACTTTGGCAACTTATATATTAAAATGTTTTACTCTGGTGGCTTGCTTACAGTTCAGAGATTTAGTCCATTAGCATCATGGCATAAAGCAAGGCAGTATACAGATAGACATGGTGCTAGAGAGGTAGCTGAGAGTTCTTGTACCTTGACAGGCAACTGTCAAAGCCACTCCTACTCCAAAAAAGCCACACCACCTAATAGTGCCACTCCCTTTAGGAGCCAATTTTTTTTGCAAGCTACTACACTCTCAAATGTTCCAAACCCCAGAATACTAGCAAATTAGTAGTGGCACATCCTCAGACATGATGCTGACTCCCTGACAGCCTATGTCAGTAATTTTTCTGCAAACATCCTTAATATTACTCCAGCATGTATGCTGTATTAAACTAAACTGGGCAGTCTCAATGCTCAAAGATATCGCTGAAGTTCTAGGTGTGCTACAACTCAAATTGAACCGATGAAATACATCAAATATCTGAAGATGCCTTTTATGAGGAATGTGTATCTTTTAACATCATTACCTTAGGATTAAATTAAATTTTGTCATATTTTACCTCTTGAGTATTTTCAAGCCGATCTTTTTTGGTCTCTTCTATAAATTTCTTAAAAAATGATATAGCATCACTTGGAAACATGCAGATGTTTAGTTTCTTATATATTCTTGAAAGGATTGGAAAGAGGGCTATGGAGAAAAGAAAAAAAATGATGAAATGCAAATTTAAGCTTTTGACAGTTATTTTATTCACCGGTTGCAAAATTTCAATAATTTAAGTGAAATATCAAAACAACATGAATAATTGTGGTAGAAATGAGCTCAATTACAAAATATAGAAAGAAAACCACTTGTAAAAGTAATTGAGTTTTCAATAAAAACACAAAGACAATAGTTCAGCTCCAGGAAGATTCAGTGTGCAATTCTATGAAATATTTATCAAATAATTCTTACCAGTACTTCATAGGCATTTTTCTAAAACTTACAAAACTAGGGAAAAGTAGAGAATCAAACTTTCAAACAATCAAACTGGTTGATTCTACTGCCCTGTTACTAAAATCAGAATATATTTTGGGATGAAAACCTGTGTAGAAATGTGACTTGAATATACCAAAGGGATTTTATCAGTAAAACACTTACCAACTGAATGCATAAAATGAAAGTAATTCTGTTGTATGCTATACAAGCAGAGATGGAGTATTTTGAAAAATTTTAGGGAAAAACCTACCAATCCTTCCCAATTAATGTTCTCAGAAAATTGGGGACAGCAGGGATTTCCCTTAACTTCATGAGAATGGTTAATGGAAACTAAGAGCTAACATAGAAATTGAAGGAGTAAGTCTTTATTTAGACAATGATTTTTCTCACTCTATCATTAATTATACTCAGTGTCTAATACCAAAAATTATATATATATATATATATATATATATATATATATATATAATGCTATAGCATGAATACACAAAACACACATGTAAATAAATTATAATTGTCTGCTCGGGAGGCTGAGTCAAAGAAACACAAATTTGAAGGCAGACTTGATTATTAGATAGAATCTGTTTAAATGTTAAGAAAAATTGCAGTGTTGGTGATAAAAGGCATAGCCTTTTATCGACTAGCCAAGAACCATGTCATGAAGCTCCATCCCTAGCTTCTGGGTTTGAGGAAGATCTTGATTGAATGCAGGTTAGGACAAGAACTGAAATCTTCCTGCCTCTATTGCTCTACTGAAGGGATTAAAAATATTCCTCAGCACTATTGACACAGTCCTGTTAGTATACTTTGGTGTTTTCATATCTAATGTAACACATAAGACCAATGATTATAAAGAAAACATCATTTACAAAATCATGAAACTAATAATAATCATCCAACCACTGTACAAGGATCCATCTGTCCCTATCACAGTCATGGGGGATGGTCCAGGAAGAATTTGATGCTGAAACTCAATATAAAGAATATTATGGAGCAGGACTTTTGGGGAGAACAATGCAGAGGCTCTCCCAGTGATGAGATAACCCAATATTCAGGGCATTTACCCCTATTATCCAATAGATCCACTCAATTGCATTTCCTCCTATAGCTATTTATTTTTATATCACACCCAAGGTCAATGTAGGAAGGCAGGCACAGATTCTCAATTTTTACATCTTATGTAATTTATTGCTTTTGGAAATGTTTTCATACATCCTTTCTTCCATCTTAGTAACCTACACTGTCCTGGTTACAGAATGTCTGTGGCTCTATTTCTTGAGAGATGGGACTTTTCTACATGATAGGACTGCACAGTCTCACACCTCTTTTTCTAGTTTACCTTTAACCCAAATGCAAAACCTTCCCATTACCCATTCTTTTTACTCTACCATGATGATTTTTGCTGCTCCTCTATGTCCCACCTAGCACCACTCTGTTAATCACTAGTCCCACCATGACTTATTTTTTTTTATTTTTCATATATATACCAACAACAGATAACATGTCAGTGTAGAAAGAATGGAGTCAGCTTTTTCTCTCTAATACAGTTGGTCCTTAAAGAATGATAAATACCTATTTTGAAGTCAACTGTTACCCTAATTTCATAAAGGATTCGATGATTGGTGATAACTATTTGTCGCAAACATTGATCAACTTCCAGGGGATCACAGGGAGAAGAGATTGGAACTCTGAACACAAGCCTAACAGAAGAAAACATCACTTCAAACCTACTACAGCCAAGGCTTTCCTGAACACTGAAAAAACTCCAAATGAACAGACAAAAATGAACACATGGGTATCTCCTGAATTAATCTCAAGGAAATACCAAATGATGAAAGAAATAAGGAAATTAAATCCAGATATTAAGATGGAATTTGATAAAAAATACACATACATAAGAAAAAATGAAATCATGATAGAAATTAAAGTTTCATTAAGTCAAATACTTTCAGTGGAATGGATAAGAAATAGAGTGGATCACAAAGAAGACAGAAGGTGAAGGTATAAAAACAAAGAAGAATAATAAGATCATTCAGTCATGAACAGTGATCAATTTGTTAAAAAGTTGTAAGTTTTGAGGCTATAAGAAAAAATGTCTATGACGTTCAGCATAGAGCAATGACAAGAATTTCACATCAAAGGCATAGAAAATATTATCAATAAAATAAAATAGAACTGAAGTTCCCCAAGTGAAAGAAAGAAATGTCCATCAAAATCCAAAATAGATAAAGAGTATAACATAGATAAAATGAGCAGAGAAGAAACTTCCCATTTTACATTAAAAATAAATATGAATACATAGAATAAAGAAAGTGTACTTTGAGAAGATTTGAGAAGAAGAACAAAGTCACATAAAAAGACAGGTTCATGAGCATAACTCCTGAACAGCAAAATGGAAAACAAAAATGCCAGGAAGGCATAAAATGTTGTATTTCATGTTTGGAAAATAAGAGCTACTGAAAAAATATATATAAATGCATGAATATATATATATATATATATAATCATATTTATTATAGTCAAAGGAGAAAAACAAAACTAGCCATGTTGTCATGCTGTAGAATTTTTCACAATGAATTCTGCTTACATTACATAATGTAAAGGTTGGTTTGGACTGAAGAAAAAAGTAAATTCAACCAAGGGGCTAGAGGAAAATAATGATACTAAGACAGCTGTTAAGAAAAGAGGGCCAAGACAATGTCAGACAGGAGAAAAAAATGTCAGGAATCATTGCATGTCTTTCAATAAGAAGTCTGAATATTAAAAGTCTATATTCCTTTATCAAAGGAAACAGACTAAGGGTAAATATAGTGATATATGCTTTAATCTCAACACTCAAGAGCCAGAGGTAGGCAGATCACTATAATATCAGAAAAATCTCTTCTACATAGCCAGTTCTAGACCAGCTAGAAATATATAGAGTTTGTCTTTAAACAAATAGATAAGTAAATAATACACAGATTAGCAGATTGGATTAGCAGTCATAATGTTTTTCCTGACCCTAAGAAATGTACCCAACCAGCAAATATCAGTGTAGGAAACAAGCATGCATCACTAATCCAATATCAATTTAAAGCTAGTCACAAGGATGTAGAAAATCACTTTATACACTTTAAGAAAAACATCCACCCACACAAAATTGCTACTATAAACATATATGCATCAAAATGTGCAGTCCATTTCATAAAACAAATGTTATCAGATACAATGTCACAGAATAAATTCTGCAACATAATAGTGAGTGAATTCTACACCATTCTTAAAATAAATATGCTATCCATAACAAAATAAACTGAGAAATGTTGGAAGTAGATGACACTAATTTAAATTTCATTTATGATTTGGAGGAATGATTATATATATATATATATATATATATATATATATATATATATGTATAAATATAAATCATGACATTAATGGCTCAAAGACAGAAATCACAAGATTATGTAATAGTTATCAAAGAGGTACAAAGTATGTGGCAATGATGGATAACAACATGTGATGTTAAAATTCAAAGGGAGATTAAAGAACCAGATTATATGAATGAAAGTAAGATGAGGGAGGTAATGATTGTGTATGGATATGCTATGAGGAACCTCTTTATTTTGTATGCTAATTAAAAGAAATATAAGATTTAAATATAGTTGAAAAATACACTATATACCTTCAAGGAAAAATAATGGATTTGAAAAATCCAATACAAAAAGCTTTCTGATGTTTTTCACAAAGGGATCCTGGGGGTTGTTGAGGGAATCCACTCTCACTCCAAATAAGGTACCAGTGGTCACATCCATGCTGTAGGCCCCAAAGATGCTGAGTAGAGAAACATGGGAGTTAATGTGTTACTGACACAACCTCTGAGCTATGAGACCATTTGTCTGCAGCATCATCAACACAGCCTGAGTTTACTACTGTGGTGTCTTCAGAACTCAATACAATTTTACTAATCTCACCATTTCCAGGAACTTCTCCCTCTTCAGTTGGATGAAAGAGAGGCAGAAAAAATTTGTTTCTTGATGATATTTTTCTAAGACACTCAGCAAAACCTGAAGATTTAGATTGTTGAATGTTACAGCTACATTACTCTTGCCAAACCAATGTCCTCTGATGCAGCACATATATCCTCCTCCCACATTTCCTAATCCCCACATCTGCAGCTTTCCTTAATTTTCTCCTTCCATTCTAGACTATGTAATTTGTCTTCTAAAACATACAAGATGATAACCAGTAACCTAATTTTGTCTCATGTACACAAGAGATAGAGTCTCAAAAGGTAGTGTGGGAACTGTTACTTAATGTGTTGTGCACAGCATGGTAACATCATGCCTCTCCCTTACTCTTGTTCTGGAATTATTTTAGCTACCTGTCAGGCAGAGGGAGGTCTCCAGATGGGGCACAGAGCCCCCAGCAAATGCATACATCACTACTCACTCTTTCATGGTAACATTCTTGCCCTTCTCTACTTCCCGACTCATGTTTTTCACCATCGAATCTCCATACTCTTGGATGATGGGGAACATCTAAGCACAAAACACAACACAGTCTCCTGGTAAATGGCAACATCTGAGTCCATAAATAACAAGTTTTTGAAGTTATAAAATGATCATCATATTTTAAAAGGACTATATAAGACAAAATAACAACAACAAAACAAAAAGCAAAGACCATTTCTAGCAATGCAATGCTCAAAGGAACATCTATTTAAAGGTTATATTATTTCTACCAGTCCTCTGATATATTTTATTACATTTACAATAAAAAAAGTTCTTCATTAACTTACCTTCTTTAGTTTTCCAGTGCTAAAGGTTGGTGTCAGCAATGATCGAATTCTTTTCCATTCTTCATTCTCAGATCTTACCATACCTTTTTTCAGAAATCCAACTGGACCAAGAAACTACAATACCAAGAAAAATAGATTTTGCTCTCCATTAGATTTGTTATCCTAACAGTTATAAAACTTGTATGAAATAGACAACATTCCTTAACAGCTACTAACCCTCTTGTAGTTGGCAGGTTTTATGCTAGTCTCTCAATAACAGATCCTCCAATGGGGGCTGGAACAATGGCTCAGTGGATAACACTACTTGCACCTCTTGTAGAGGATTCCGGTTCAATTCTACGCAACTACATTAGGTGGTTCACAACTGCCAGAAACTACAATTCTGAGTATCTGATGCCATCTTCTGTTTTCTGTCAGTACTTGCACACATGCAGTACCCATACATATAGTCAGGCACACATATGTAATAAATAAAATATGTAAAATGATTCAAAATGAAGGTAAAGATATATACAGCCAGCTGTGTGGAATTAACTTGTTATATTACAGTCTTCATTTCAATAAGATTCTGTCTGTAGAAAAAATTGCCTTTCTGTGTGAAAAGACAGGTAGGAAACCAAAAATATTCTCCAAGACAGTACAGAAAAATTTGGATTCTTAGTTTGGTGTCTATTGTTTGATAAAGACAATGAACAAAAGCAACTTGTTGTGTAAAAGACTTATTAATCTTACAACTCTTAGGCCACAGTCTGTCACTGAGAGAAGTCAAGACAGGAACTCAAGGCAGTAACCTGAAGGCAGGAACTGAAACAGAAGCTTTGGAGGAATGCCACTTAATGGCTTTCTCACCATGGTTTCTTCAGCCTGCTTTCAAATACAACCTAGGACTAACTGCCCACGGGTATCACCAACAACAGTGAGTTGAGCACAATCACTAACGAAGAAAACGCCCCACAGCCTTTCTACAAATAAGCAGATGGAGGCACTTCTCAACTGAGGTTTCTCTTCCTAACTATGTCTAGGTTTGTTTCATGTTGCCAAAATGTAACCAGAGCAATAGGGTACATATAGGAGTTCTATATTGGCAAATTTTCCTTAGACCAACTTGGCACTTACAAGTATCTTCAGCTTGAGCTATTTTGAAAAGAATTGATATGACATAGTAATCATTAAATTATCACAAATACTGAAGGACTAGGTAGTATTAGCCTGAGCATTAATTGAATATCATGGAAATATTTCTTCTTGATGGTTTATACTGAAATATAAGCAAAAGAACAATATAATTCCCTTTTTCCAATGGGAAGTTACTTCCACCATATGTCCCTGTATTTGATTATATCCTGGAATGTTTCAGTAGCTTTTTTACAATTTAAATACATGTGAATAGTGACAGGGAAACTTCATACATATGATAAACCCTACATCAAACAAAAGCTTCATCCAGCACCTCACTTTGTAAAGAAAACCTGGTTTATCCATTAAGAAAACATTTTAAAATATCTGTTCTCACCTTTTACTACATCTCCACCTTGTGTCTAGCTATTGCAATGAGAGAAAAGCAATAAACTAAAAGGCATGTAGATCTCATTGTAAATGGAAATATTTCCATATTCAAGTTATGTTACTAATTATGTGGAACAAATAAAGATTATACACAAAAAAATGAAGGAAACTGAAAGAGACAGAATACCTACAATCACTCACACCCAAGGCTCAGGGAACATTGTGGAAGACATATTGAAAAAGCTGCTAGAGCCAGAGGAGTGCCACAAAGGGCTGGACTCTGGGCGTGACATGGGTGTGGCTCACATGGACTCACAGTTGCTATGGTTATCCCCACTAGACTTCTAGAAGATCAATCTAATTTAAAAAATCCAGCACAGATGGGAAAGAGGCTTGTGATGTCCCCATCCCTACCTGTGGAACTAATAATAGCTTGCATGAGCATTTTTCCATATGTATCTATACTACACCTGTAATATAAATGTGCAGTGTCTAAAGTGCCCAGAAGAGGACATCAGACACAATGAAACTGGACTTAAAGATGAGTTGCAGGTACCATGTGGCTACTAGATATTGAACCCTGGTCTTCTGTAATAGCAGTCAGTTTTCTTAATGTCTGAGCCATCTCTCCCCATGTAGTATTGTAAAACTGATAAAAGCATGTCATAGGATGTAGTGCAGAAACAACTGTTGTTACTAAATTGAATGTGATGCTAATCTAATTGCCCTCTAGATTCTTATGTCCCTCAGATTACTGCTATCAGTGTTCCCTTAGAAGATTCAATTTATCATGGCCAAAGATTCATATAGAAATTTATAACTGGACAATATAAAAAAGTGACTTCAGAATTCTCTTTCCTAAATGTGACATCTAAATCACTCTCTCAAAGACTCAGGGGAGATATAAAAAAGGGGAGAGGAGCAGAAGAAATACAAGGTCTGGCCTGGAGAAGAGGCTCACTAGTTAAGAACATATACTGCTCTTGACAAGGATCTGAGTTCAGTTTCTAGAACCTCTGTCAGTTGGTGAAATTGCCTGTGACTCCAGAACCTGGGAATCCAATACCCTCTTTGGTCTTCATGGTCACTTTACTCATATATACAAACACATACACATTTTAAATAAATATAAATAATGTTTTTTAAACACTTTAGGATATACAAGAATGGTAGAGACTTATAAATAGTTCACTTCTGTGAATAGAAAGGTCTTTGCACTCTTAAAATCCCCAAAATTGTGATTATTGGCCCAAGACCATTCACAGGATAACACCCATCAACATTCTACCATGGAGAAGGGAAGGGTCCATCTTGTTCTGTCTCCCCCCTGAGGATTTATAAGTAGGTAGTGGGAATCAGAGAAGAAAGAACCATTTGCTTCAGGAGTGTAGAGAGTGAGAGGGGGTCTATGTTCCTGCAAATAACTCTCCAATGTATGTTCTCTTTTATCAGTACTTACTAAATTCCCTGAATCACCAAATATTTGAAATACATTAGAGTAAAAGGAAAAATAATTTAAGAGAGGAAGAGGAACAATAAGAGTGTGAGAGAGACAAGACTAGGTAATAGAAAGTGAATATAAGCAAAATATATATATATATATATATATATATATATATA